TCCCCACACACACACGTTTATACATGTGGCTCTTCCACAATCTACTGACAATATGATCTGGGACATTCCCTTTATTTTGGTGAAACGTCTAAATTTCATTCACTAGACTACAAGCAGTCTGTCTCTGAAGACGTGTCATAGGACCTTCAATTTATCCTCACTGAACAAACTCTTTTTCATTTTTTTCTGCTGTCCCTTATTCAGTCCCTTTCCTGATAAAATGTGCTGCAGGCCGTAATAGCCATTCTGTGGATCTGGAAACCTGTGAAATCCCCCAAGATTATGTCTTATATCTGTTCTTTTATTTCCATCTGACCTTTTCAAACTTTATCTTAAGTCTCTTCTCTCACAGAAGGTTTCTTCATCCCCCATAGACAATTCTTTTCCTCCCTTCCATCACCTGCAACTATTTGTCCTGTTAGTTAACTTCACTTTGTATTCACAGGTAATGTAGATACTGCACCCTATACACAGGTATATGGTGTATAAGGACACAGAAGTCCCCTCAAAAAAATTCTGTATAAAAATTCAGTTCAGTTCAGCTCAACAATTTGGTTTTACAGTTTCAAGGCCAGCAATTTCTCAGGTTCCAGATGGAAGACACAATTGATTATGGGGCTCAAGAAAGGGTAGAAAGTCCCCAGTGGGGACTGACCTGTGCCACAGTCATGACCTGGCGAGTCTCCACCATTTTTATTTTGCTTTGGGGTTTAGACCTAACTTAGGGCTTTGTTTCAGTAGGACGCTGTTACATTTCTTCATATAGATTCAACATATAGCTTCAGACTATGGAGCCAGGATCCTGCTATAAAGTTTGGAGTGGCATAGTGAAACGATCCCCTACCACTCCCACACATCGGGTCTGTTGCCATTTGCATAGGAAGCCCTGGCTAATCTCCGTTTTCTTCTGAGGAAAGTGGGATCTCTGCCTTTGTTACCTCAGATCCTCTCTCAGCAGAATGAGGGGGAGATTGCTTTCCATGGGAGGACGGTTTATAGAAAAGCCTGAATACAATGTAAGTGCTTGTGTTTGCTAGCACAGGAAAAAGGTGTGGCTCTATCCATCAGGACTTTTTGAGCCGCTATCCAATGGCCCAAACCACACCGCAGTGGAAGGCACGGTACAGGTTTGCTAACTCCATTTCCCTCTCTCAGGCCTCACCCCATCTGGGAGGGATCCTTATGATTTCAAATCATTGGTTCAGCTCCCTGGATTATTATTTTTTTCTCTGAAGTAGCAAAAACAAGAACCATCTTTTTAAATGGATAAAGATATTGTGTGGAAATAAAAATGACTATTTCATGGGTGTCTATTATGTGCTATGCACAGTATTAGAAGCCAGATCCTGGATAAAAAGCTTTATAAAGATGTTTAATTATTGGCTTAGAGAGATTTGGTTTCCTCTCTGAATGTAGAGAAGTTGTAGTTTCCTTTAATTATGAATTTATTAACTGTTTTTCTACTCTTAGTGAAAAGGACTTATTATTTATCAGAATAGTCCATGTATCAATGTTTTTCTTCCTTTTTAATCTTGCATTGAGGGTACCTCCTTGTATTTTGAGCCTAACTTTGCCTGGATTTAATGGACCAAACATTTCAGTGGTCACATCACTGACATCAAACATGATCAGACCTTAGCAGGGAGAGTGGCTTTATCTTAGTCATGTCCCATTTTAGTACAGCAAGGCAAGAGGACCAAGTCACCTGGTTTGGGATTGGGGCTGATCCTGTGTACATTGGT